GCTGCAATTATGTGTTAATCCTCCTTTGTACTTCTTTGACGAACAAAAAAATTTAGTTTTTTTCGCACAAAAGTCGAGTAAGGTTCAAAGTGCTATGCCGACAGAAGTGATACTGCCGAACTCTTTCATTGTTGCTATGATTTAAAATTTTGTTTTTATTTTGAAAGAAGCCAATTGTTAATTGATGTACTTGAGCTATTTTACAATTTTATCTGCCTAATGATTACCTTCGAGTGCAAATTGTGTTGTTACAAATGCGCTTTACTTACGACTGCACCAAGCGACTCCTGTTTAAGATAACCGTTGACATGCTGCCAAAACTTTTAATTCTAAGGAAAGAGAACAAACCCAAACATTTTGCTCAGAAGTACCCGCTTCTGACTTACTGTTACGCTTTAGTCTGGGGCGAATTGGTACTACTACTCTGCGCTCTGTAACTACCTGCTCAAAAGTGGCGCCGTCATATGCTGTCTTGCATGCCGCAGATTCGCAAAAGGTAATAATAACTTGGTGTGAAAGCCTGACGACGTCATGCCACCACCTTGGCGAAATGACTCGTAATCTCATTTGTAAAGAGAAAAGTCAATTAATGTCACTTCGCGATCCCGTCAACTGCTAGTTGCTGACACCTCCAACCACCACCAACTTACATATCTCAGGGGACACTCAGCAGCACAATTAAAGGTGTTATTTCCACTTAAAAGGTGGATTTGGATGGAAGGATTTTATCGAAAGTAAAGGCCATAACACTTGTTGATTATTCAGTGCAAAGCTTTTGGCTATTTTGTCAATAAAAAGATGTCACCATACAAAGACTTGAGAGATCATTTGGCTGGTGCTTTCCTTTTGCTAGCCTCGAAATTAAAAGACTTAAGAGACATTCTGGAGGTAATATTTGAATAGGCACGAAAAAGGAGTAACGTGAGGTTAAAATAACATGTCGATTATTGCAATTTGGGCCAGCGGCCGTAAAATGTTATAAAAATTTGTACACAAGAATACAAATGTCACCGATTTCCGCGTAGAAGTAGGTATTTGGTTCATAAGGAAAAGAACTAAAAGACAAAGTAGGTCAATGAACGAGTATGAGCGGGCAAATATTTTGTTTTAATTTGCAGTAAACGGTTTGCTCACCTGCCAAAAAAGTTGCCAACATGGCAGTGCCAATTGCCACCGAAGGTTATATCACACCGGCTTTTAAGAGAACTGGCTATAGCTTGAATGCCTCCCGTTCCTGATGCCCGGACGGTACTGGAAACAATCTCTTCCATTTCACTTCGCCTCTCAGCCGTCATGTCCGTTTGAATGCTGTTAATCGGTTTATCGCCCATAATTTAGACAAAATGAGGTCGCTTTGCACCAACAAAATCCGAAGACAAAGAGTCGACAGAATGGTGTTAGACAGAATACCTCTTATGGGAAAGAGGGCTATAGAGATGAAGAAGTGGTTGAAGGACGTGAATCAGCTTAGCTCACACCAACCGTAGCTCACAATTTTAGCGATGCACGTGACGTTCGCTGCTACGCTAGCGCTGCTGCCGCTGCCGCTGCTGCTGCTGCTGCTGCCGGGTTCATTTGTCAAGACGCCGCGAATCAGTCATGGGATATCCTTCACGTCAACTAATTTTCCAACAAAAGGATCCAACCTTGGTGCCAAATGTTTGCAAATCAAGTTTTAAGTCGCAATAAATAAGTAGGATTTGAGTTAATTACTTTGGAGGAGGAAAAAGCGAAGAACTGCGTACAAAAGTGCTTTGGCAGAAGCATTCGAAATTGGCAGGGACTGCTAACTCGTGACCACGTTTAACACCTAAACATAATTTTGTGAATGAGGCATAACTTATTTCGTCTCACAATTTTTATTTCCTCATTCACAAAACAGCTAAATTGAACATTTAAAATTTTCGATAAGTTTACTTTGCACGAGCACAGAGGAGCTTATTTTCCAGCTGACACCAGAAGTCTTTTTTATTCATAAAAAAATGTTGCTGAGTGACGTTTCTAAAACTTTCGGTTTTTCAATTCCTTGTCACTCTAGTCGCCACGTCAAGAAAATTGCATGCAACCGAAGGCTGACAATGCTCGTTCCATTAACTGCAACGAGGAGGGAGTATGCAATATTTTTATTCCAAAGCTAGCTTTCGAAGTATTTGTTTGCGTTACTGCTTTCATGATTGATGCCTCCCATTTGGAGTCATTTTACTGCCACACTCTTGTTTACTTTTGTCGTACCTTTAAAAATTTAATAGTTCGTCTGTAATTAAGGAAAGCTATCGTCTTTGTCAAAACCTTCTGGCAAAATTAAGTGTTAGTGTTTGCTTTTATGCAAATAGTGACGGACTTCTAGATCACTCTAGGATAGGGAATGAAGTCTTTCTCGAGCTGGGAGTTAATGGACGATGAACCCTTGCCATTGATCGGAAAGGGTCATCTTAGCATCGGGACCCAGTGTGGAGAACCAATCAGCTACCACGGCATCGAGTAATTGGAGTGCGCTCATTACACCAACAAATAAGCCATTCATCATAAAGTGTTGGTGAGAATCGCACAATCAAGTAGGCTTGTCGTCTTCCAATCGCACACAATCAAGGCTATACCTCTAAGTTCATTGAATCGCGTCGAGAGAGAGCACTTCCAACCATGAGCAGCCGTCACCATCATCATTGCCATAGCAAGAAGGGTTCAGAAGATCCATGCGATGCACGAGCCAAGTTCGTGAGTAAAGACCTTCATGAGAAGAATGAGACTCGATTCCTCGAGGTGGTTCAAACCGCGTGTCAACTCTACGATGATTTGGTTGACTTGAGCACTGCAATTAAGCAGACCATGGATGAGACCTACGGCCCAACATGGCATGTCGTAGTCGGACCAAACTTCGCCAGGTAAACAAGAATCTCATCAGTAAAGTGAATGCTTTTTTACCTGTTGCGCACTAACAATTATTTTTTGCCCTCTTACAGCCACATTATGCACGAGAAGAGTGCTTTCGCGCACATCAAATGCAACAACCTCTCGTTTCTCATCTACAAATATGGCTAAAATCAGAAATACGACCGCGAGAGGCTGAGAATTGTTCTTGATGTGAACTTATATTATGCGTATTCAATAAATGTTTATCTGCCAACCACGACACTGTCTCCTCTATGTCTGGAAAACTGCCTGAGGGCATGAAATTAACTGTCTCAGATTCGGTGGCTGTCTGTTGTGGCTACTTAAAATGGTTAACAAAGCAATTTAGAGCCGACTTTTTCTGCGGATCAAAAAAGTAAGGTGCCAATCCATTCATAAACAACTAAAAAAGCAAGCACCAATATCAAGTGTAAAAAGAATTTGTTTCTCGGAGAACAGTCTTGTCTAAGAGACTCATCAATTGGAGTTCAAGGAACGAACAAAGTGGAGAATCCTTGCGAAACACTTAACAATCAACCGTTTGTAAAGGTCGGAGGAGCATCCTAATTTCTTTGGTGCCTATTGAGGTGCTCCAACGTCATTTGCTCACGGGTTTTCTAATTGACGATCTTTTTTGCATGATGCTGGACCACCATAAAAGCCCCTTCTTTCAGTTGTTAGGGTGTTTCGCTTATTTTTTGGCAGATAACTTGCGTTCTTGTGCACATTCAGCCTCCAAATAGGGTAGATTAAGCTAACAAACTCATTTTATGGCATTACGAAAATCCTACAAAGGATCTGCAACACAGGCCTAAGCAGAGGTGGCCAGTCATGACGCTACAGGCCCCGTTAATGCTATTAAAAATAAGTGCCTTCCAACTCGAGGGAGTTGGCGCGTAGCAGAGCACCTCCTCAGCTAACTTCGTATCAGTGCGTTGAGCATTCTAGCCTTGACTGTGATGCTCTAAGGGCTCTGAGATTTCTCCTTACATTAACTTGTTAATAAATTTTTAAGGTCACGTATAAGAACCGTAATATTCGCTATCTTAACAAATGTCAAAATTAATCAAGCTGTTTGTATAGTTTTGTCATTCCACATTTCACTCAATTTTGTCACACACTTTCATTTGTAAATTGGAAAATTCTCCTGTCTCACATAGGGCACCGGTACTTAGTTTCGCCTTAAAAGCGTTCCACTATTCAATCATGCTTCTTGTTTGTTCCTAGTTTATCGCGCCTTCTCACTATCTCGCGCAAAATACGGTAATGTATGCGATTAAATGTTGATTCTTTATAGTACTGATGGTCACTATCAGCGTCTCT